TATGCTTCAGCAAACACTTCTTGCTGCACTCATATAAGGGTCAAGGAGAATAATTTATTTTTTTAAGTTTTTATTTATTTATTTAAGTAGTCTCTGCACCCAACATGGGGCTTGAACTCACCACCCCAAGATCAAGAGATGCACACTCCACCAAATGAGCCAGTCAGGAGCCCCCAAGTAGAACAAATTCTGATCAGGCTAAAAGAAAAGGCCATCTGATTCTCTACAAGATACCAGCTGGGCTTTGGGACATATTTCCCTGGCCTGAGTTTGGTCTGTCTCCAGGGTCTATTACAAGGACTAATCATCATCTTGTTTCTGGTAACTGCCTGTGGTGCATTTGGCCGATGTATTCTGTCCAGAGTCTTAAATGCCACTGTCCAGCCCTTGTCACCTCAGGAGATTCAACAACAACTCATTCTGCAATGGAGAGGAGAGACGAGCCCTAACCCTACTACGGACAACTTCCTCTGAGCCAACTCCAGGTCAGCAAAATCCTGGCAGTGGTGATGATCAGAATATAGACTCGCATCCTGTGGCCTGACTTCATCTGATCTTGGATGAAAGAGGGGAGTGAGAAAGAAACGCAGCCCCTGACATACAAGAGCTGGCCTGGAACTCACAGCAAGGCTTTGGTATTCTCCCATTGAACATGAACAATTTCACAGATCTCCAACAACAGACAAGACTTCTCTGTGTCCATCATGGAGCAAGACAAAAACAAGACTAACAAACATCAGTCCAAATCGCCAAAATGGGGACGCCTGGGTGGCTCAGTGGTTAAGTATCTGCCTTCGGCCCAGGGCGTGATCCCAGAGTCCCGGGATCGAGTCCCATGTCGGGCTCCCTGCATGGAGCCTGCTTCTCCCTCTGCCTGTGTCTCTGCCTCTCTCTGTGTGTGTGTCTCTCATGAATAAATAAAATAAAATCTTTAAAAAAAATCCCCAAAATGACCAAACATCGCCCTCTCCTAGCTCCTATGAATGGGTGTTGCTTCTTTATCAATCACTCCATCCTCCTCACCTTCTTAACAAGAATTAAGATATCCAATCATAAAACTACCCCACTCCCTGACAGCCTTCAGTCCTTGTACTCACCCCAAAATCACCTAACACAAAGCCAAGTCCTATAATAGGTTCTAACACCTTCTAACCAAGACATCCCACGGTTCCCCCATGCTGTGAATTCTCTCTTCTTTTGAGGAGTCAGTGAACCCAGATTTGTTGGACTAGAGGTGATCTTTGGGGGAGGGTTGTTTTTGTTTTGTTTTAAAGATTTTTTTTGAGAGGGAGACAGAGAGAAAGAGAACATGAGCAGGGAAAGGAAGAAGCAGACCCCCCTGCTGATCAGGGAGCCCCATGTGGGGCTCGATCTCAGGACCCTGAGGTCATGATCATGACCTAAGCCAAAGGCAGACGCTTAACCAACTGAGCCACCCAGGTGTCCCTGGAGGTGATCTTTGAATGAAGGGGTTTATATCATAATAAAAGGTCCAAGACTTACTCTGAGAGTTCCTGATGTAGCAGGAGAGACAAACCAACAGTTTTAAGTCAATGTGGTGAATATCATAATAAAACATAAAGACAGGATGCTATAAGAGCCACAGGTCAGAGCCAGGGCAATCAGTGAAAGCTTCCTGGTGGACAGGACACTAGGCTAACTCTCAGGTAGGAGCGAGCCCAGTGCAGAGGTAGAGGTTGTATTAGTGGGAGGAGTAAAGTGTTGTAGGCAGAAGGAGTAGCAAATTCAGATGAAAGAAGCAGAAAGAGTACATGGCTAGACCATCACTGAGGTCAAGAAGGAACCTCCAACAGGTTTAAGGGGCTTTCTATGCTCTTGGGTATGAATAAATTATATTTTATTATAAAGATTCAATGAGCACATACAGTGACCAAAGTTAACAAATGGACATCATTTGCCTCCAGATGCTATGGAGGATACAGCATCACTTTTGCAGTATTGCCAAAAAAGGCATAACCTGAATTAACCATGAGGAAAAATCAAATCATCCCAAATTAAGGAACATTCTACGTTTTATTTATTTTTTAAAAGATTTTGTTTATTTATTCATGAGAGGCACACACAGAGAGAGAGAGAGAGAGATAGCAGAGACACAGGCAGAGGGAGAAGCAGGCTCTATGCTGGGAGCCCGACGTGGGACTCGATCCCGGGTCTCCAGGATCAGGCCCTGGGCTGAAGGTGGCACTAAACCGCTGAGCCACCCGGGCTGCTCACATTCTACATTTTAAACTCCAAAACTGTCAATGTCATGAAACAAAGGCTAAGGAGCTACTCAAGATTAAAGGAGAATAAGCACAGCTAAATGCAAAGCTTTCTCCTGGGTTGCATTTGAGAATGGAATACTTTCTTTCCTTTTGTTATAAGAGACATCAGTGGGACAATCAATGAAACTCAGCTAGATAATATTGTATCAGTGTTAATCACCCAATCTTGATAATTATGCTGTGGTTATATAAAAGAATGTCCCTTTTTTCAGGACATGCATAACAAAAGATTTAGAGGTAACAGAGCATCATGTCTGCACCTTACTCTCAAACCATTAAATAAATATAGCCATATGGGTGCCTGGCTGGTTCGGTCAGTAGAGCGCTGGGAGTTCAAGCCATATGTAGGATGTAGAGATTACTTTAAAAAATTAAAAATCAAGAAAAATAAAAATATATTTACATTTATATGTAAACGAGAAAGACAAAGCAACAGTAGACTGTTAACATTTGAGAAATCTAGGTAAAGAATACTCAGGAATCTTTACGGTATTTTTGCAACTCTTCTGTAACACTGACATTTTTTCAAAATAAAGTTATCTCTTCCCTACAAAAAAAGGGGGGGCATGTAATTGAAGAGCCTCTATGTGTCAGTACTATGGTGGGCCCTGTGGAGGTGAGGATGAATGCAAATTATCCCTGCCCTTCAGGACTCATGATCTAGTGGGTCATTTTGGCAGCAGATCCAAAGGGGTAAGGCAAGCCCTCTAGGTTGCTGACAACAATCAACAATCTGCACAAGAAGCGGGGAGGCCTGAATCAATGAAGGAAGTGCCAACATAGTCGGAAGGGCATTGGAGGGACAATTTCTATGGCCTGGTGGCTAGCTGGACTTGAAGTCGGGACCAAGAGAAGTCTAGCAGGGTGTCTGGGCTTCTCACAAAGTCTGTTGGAGGGACCAGGGTCACATTCCCAGGCTCATGGAGAATAATGTGATTGGTTTTGGACAGCTCAGTGGTGCGAGTGAGTAGAGCATCTGAACCCCAGGCCTGTCGTTTTTGGGGAGAGCTCTGGGCTGAGATAGCTTGGGGCATTGTCAGCATTAAGGTGGTGGAAGAAGCCGTGTGATGGGAAGAGGGCAAAAACAGAACTCCAGGGAAGCCTCTGGAGATCAAAGTCCCATTCTCTGCCCCACTTAAGAATGTACCCTTCAAGTTCTTATTTTTCTTATTTTATATTATGTTATGTTATTATTTGAGAGAGGGGGGTGGGGGAGAGGGGCAAAGGGAGAGGGAGACGGAGAAGCAGACTCCACGATGATCGATCTCACAACCCTGAGATCATGACCTGAGCTGAAATAAGAATCAAGGCTCAGCTGACTGACCCCCCCCCCCGGGAGGCCCCAAGGTCTTATTTCTCTGCTGCAGGTTTGGCCTATTTGCCAGATTTCTCCCAGCTTAACACAAGACTTTGGGAGCCTCCTCACTCTGTAGACTGTTTTCCCATCTGTAAATGGGGACATGGGAAAGTAGTTGTCTTTTCTCTTCTTTTATAAAGATTTTATTTATTTATTCATGAGAGACACAGAAAGAGAGGCAGAGACATAAGCAGAGGGAGAACCAGGCTTCCTGCAGAGAGCCTGTTGTGGTACTCGATCCCAGGACCCCAGGATCACACCCCCAGCTGAAGGCAGATGCTCAACCACTGAGCCACCCAGGTGCCCCATGGGAGAGTAGTTGTCTTAAACATCTCCCAGGGGGAAGGCAAAATCATTGAGGCCCTAAGTGCCAGTTACTCTGTTACTATCCTGAGACTTTGAGCTGAGATTGCTCCAAACATCTCCAGGCTGCCTAGAGCCCTGGGTCTTTGGAGCTTGATCTCTGGCCTTTCCTCCTCAGTGAATTAAAGGGAACTGGAATGCCACAGTGATCGTGATTTGAGTGCACTAAGGGCTCTTAGGATAGTGCGGATGGCCAGGAATGCGAGAAGAGATTGAGACAGATCAATGAGATGGCACCGGGCTCTGGCTGACTCAGTTGGTAGAGCCAGTGACTCTTGATCTCAGGGTCGTGACTGAGTTCAAGCCCCACGCTGGGCATGGAGCCTATTTTAAAAATTAAAATAATAATGATAATAAGGTAGCCCTGACCTGGGATTCAACATATACAATAAAATCCACAAATCTCAAGAGTCCCACCAGACGAATAGGGACAGTACCTACTTCTATGCAACTCAAACCTCCACTCACATAGTTTCCATTACCCCCCAGAAAGTTCCCTTAACCCCTTCACAGTTACTCCTCAGCTCTCATCCAGCAGCGGGAACCACCGTTCTGTTTACCTGTCTCCCTTAATTTTTTAAAAATGTTTGAAACTTGCAAGTTATTTCGAGAAAAATATGGGTGGTGACGTAGCCTCTCAAAGGAGAGTGTGAAGCTGAGCACTGCTTAGGGTCGTTTCTTCCATTTGATTTTTTAAATCCAATCAAATAAGGCCTTTCCTTCCCCCCTCCCCAAAAAAGCTTTGCAAGAGCTGGACTCCAGCCAACAGTCGTTCTTCTCCCGCTAGGAAAAGGGTGGATTTGTTTAACCGCTTTGTTCTTTCCTCTTTGAACCTGCTTGTGTTTAACCGGACCCTCGACCCCAATCTCTGTTAGGTATTTTAAGAACTTTTCTTGTTTAGGTAAGAGAGAAACTTTAGCTCCCTGGCCAAACTCCGAGGGTTGGCTCCCGGGCTCCAAGCGTCTGCCCCCGCCCCGCCCGTCGCGGTGGCTTCGTATGATTCTTCCAGGAGCCACGGAGGAGAGGGACAGCGTCGGGGGGTGCACTCCCCGGCCCGCACCCCCAGCTGCTGCCACCCACCTGCTGAGCCGCCCTGCCCCCGCCCAGGCCTCTCTCCGCGGCCCGACCTTGAGCCTCTGGAAGGCGCCAGACGGGTGAGTGCCGGGGTCGCGCTGGCCTCTCCGCCCGGCTCCCCGGGGGTGCAAAGGTCCGGCCACGGCCGGTACAGAGTCGCCGGGGCCGGCTGAAAAGAGGCCGACTGCCCCTGCCCCCCCGGGGACCCGGGCCCCGTGCGCCCCCTCGGCCCGGCCGGACGCGAGACAGGCTCGACCTTCAGCTTCACAGGGCCTCACGGTCACCCGAGGCTGCGGCGGCGCCGCCGGAGGGTGCGGAGGCCCCTCGCCGCTCGCGCAGCTCAGGTGCAGCGGGGACACCTGCCGGCGCGCGCCCACTCCCCGCCGCCCCGCCGCCGGCTCCCAGGAAGCCCCGGCGGAATGACAGTTGCGAGGCCCAGCCCTCCCACCCTCAGCTTGCACGCCGGAGCGCCCGATTAAGTCAATATTGCAAAAGGTCCTCGTCTGATCCTGGGCCTTATCTCGGGTCGATAACACGAAGGCCTTTGGAGCCTGTGCCAAATTTTAACAGCCAGCAAGGATTCCAAATGCTAAGACACTGGCCATCAGCGTTTAAGATTTGAGTCAAAAAAATAATAATAGTAAGATTTGAGTCGTTTCTTTAAAAAAAAAGCAATGTATAGAAGGAAATATGAAATCAAAGATTATTTTTTCCTTTTCCCTCAGCTGTCATTAATTCGCCCATGGCTGGGTGAGGCCACTCACTTCTAAGCAGAAACATGACAGGGGGAAGGATGACAATGCAGACAATTTGGGTCAGCAGCTGGGAAGAGTTTGGGAAAGAGAGGAGGCTCTGAAAAGTTGCCTGGTTTTCCTCTCCCACGGGGTCTCTTAGGTAATGTTTCTTCTCTGATAATTTTTGTCTTCTCCCTGTTCGCTGGTCACACTCTGGCCTCAAGTCCCAGCATAGAATATTCCTGCCAGTAAAGTTCAAGACTCCTTGCCAAACTGGCACAGTGCCTTCCCCGGGAGCCAGAAGTAGCTGAGGGACTGTCCATTCCTACAAGAGATCCCCAGATCACATATGTCCCCTTCTCCACCCCTTCCACTGCACCAAGTTGGAAACGGGTGTCAGCTCCAATTTAGTTTATTATCACCAGTGAATCTAACTTCTAAAAATGCAGGTCAGAAAAATGCAGAGCGGGAAGGCCCTGGCCTTGGAGAGGTGGGAGAAGGGAGTCCGAACCATCAGTGGGTGGGGAGGGTAGCAGGAGCTGGTGACCTGCGGGCGGGGAGGGGCCACCAATGAGGGAGCTGCCCGCCCCTGACCAGACCCATCTTCAGTCGGGGGCTAGGGCGCAGGCATAAAGGGCAGCCTTTGGGTGCAGGAGCAGCCAGCAGCCAGCAGCCAGCAGCCAGCAGCCAGCTCTCCGAGGGTCATCAGCACCAAGGTACGGATGTGGGGGGGGCTTGGGGTTTTTCCTCTCTCTCTCTTTTAAAGACAGTTGAAAACAAGCACTGGTAAGTGGATTGAAGTTGCCTCATGTTATGGATGATCAGCCCTGTCTTCATTTTCATGTATGTCTCTTCCTGCCACATTGCCTATTTTGTTCTGATTTTAGAGAAATTTTTCCAGTTCCGATAAAACTCAGTTCTGCATCCGCATCTTACCAGGGCCTTAAGCCCGGAGTTTGACTGAATTCACCCCATGCGATTACATCCCGTGTTATCTCCGTTACCTTCCGCAGAGCACCCCCTTGACAATGTCTTCCATTAAGATTGAGTGTGTTTTGCGGGAGAACTGCCGGTGCGGAGAGTCTCCGGTGTGGGAGGAGGCGGCCAACTCTCTGCTCTTCGTAGATATTCCTGCGAAAAAGGTTTGCCGGTGGGATTCGCTCAGCAAGAGCGTGCAGCACGTGACCGTGGGTAAGGATGAAGGCCGGGCTCAGATCCGCCCATACATCGTCTTCTCCCCGGGGAGGGGCGGTCACCTGATGTGTCATTCCCCAGGGAACTTCTTGTTAAAGCCTCCTGGACATGCTTTAAAACTGCTGCTTGGTCCTACTCTCTCTGTCCACACCCTGCGCACTCCCGCTTTGACCCAAGAGTAAATTCTGGATGCTCAATACTTCCTCTTCCCCCGCGGGCGAGGGGCAACAGTCCCCATTTTGTGTTGCTGACCAGGCCCTGGAGGATCTTTCCTTAACATCTTTGGATAACAGCTTTAGAAGTTGGAGGCCCGTTTGTGGCACAGCAAAGGCTGTCTACCTTGGGTCCGGCCAAGTCCTTTATTTGCAAAACAAAAACAAAACAGAAACAGAAACAAACAAAAAAAAAACCCTCCCCCCCAAAAAAAAAACCAGGTATATTCCTTCTTTGAATGTACCAAGAAGGGCTTTCAGACTTACAAAGTATCAACCAGGACTATCTGTTCACTGTACAAGATAAGATTCATGACAAATTTCAAGGGCATTGGAATGTGATTCTGTTTATGGCCGTGTGACTCCCAGAGGAGGGGTTTCTCATTGTAGGAGTTTGATATGAGATAAGGAAGCTTCTTGTTCTTTGTTAATGGGAAGACATACAATGAATTCCTGTGACCTTGGGACAGTCTCATCCCAGAACTGGTGATCTCAAACTTTTTTTTTTTAATGAGAGGGAATAGCTTTTATTTTTTTGTAAAGGTTTTATTTATTTATTCATGAGAAACATGGAGAGAGAGGCAGAGACATAGGCAGAGGGAGAACCAGGCTCCTCTCAGGGACCCCAATGTGGAACTCGATCCTGGATCCCTGCCTAACAGGTGCCCAACAGCTGAGCCACCCTGGCGTCGCGGGGGTAGAGTTTACTTAACAGAAGTGTAAAAGTACATATACATACATACATACATACATACATACATATGAAACATGGAGAGAGAGGCAGAGACATAGGCAGAGGGAGAAGCAGGCTCCATGCAGGGAGCCCGATGTGGGACTCGATCCCAGGACCCCGGGATCATGACCTGAGCCAAAGGCAGACGCTCAACCACTGAGCCACCCAGGTGCCCCCTGCCCCCCCGGGAACAGCTTTTTAACTCACCCAGGGATATGAGTGTGGCTAGAGGCAAAGTGACTGTGGCCAGTGGCCAGCATAGAGGCAGGGACCCGTTGCCCTAGTCTCTCTTTGCCAGTGTGCACACAGTAGAGGTATGTTCCCATCCCTAATCTGCAACCACCCCCAAACCACAGAAAGGCATTATGGTATCAATTAATTTAGGAAGTTACAGAAGTTAGCTGCCAGAAGCCTCAGGCCACAGGTTGGGATGCATGATGAGAATGTGGCCCTCCCAATACTGTGCTGCACATTCCCTGGGCCTCTCAATGGCTGGAATCAACTTCTGAATGGGGCTTTGCACTTACTGAATAGATGCTTAGAAAATGTTTTCAAGGGGTGCCTAAATGGCTGAGTCGGTTAAGGGACCGACTCTTGGTTTTGGCTCAGATCATGATCTCAGGGGTCCTGGGATCGAGCCCCGCATTGGGATCCGTGCTCAGCTGGGAGTCTGCTTGTCCTTCTCCCTCTGCTCCTCCTCCCATTCTCTCTCTCTCTCTCTCAAATATTTTTTACAAAAAAGAAAATGTCTTCAAAATAAACTGATAAATTTGTTTCCTCTGACTGTTCACCATGGTAATCAATCTCTCTAGACAAAGAAGTTTCCTTATACGTGGAAAAATGTTAAGCCCAGAAAACCTAAAATTTAAAAATACAAAATATAGCAATCTAGTCACACGTGATTGTTTTATCACCACATCTATGTTTCTATTATTTTTATCATACTTCCTTCCAAAAAAGAATTTGAGAAACAACTTTCAATTACATACATAAAAGAGGACCCCTTAGAAAAGACAAGTCCCGAATCAGAGAGAGATGTCACAAAACCTAGTTGCCAGAACTAACACAGTTTGTGTCTCTGAGTTTCCTGGAGATCAGGTGAATCAAGCATTACTTGCTCTGTGACAGCTACTTTGGTGCTCCCCGTTCCCCCATTCCACCCCAGTTAAAGACATCCCCTCCCTTTGAACTTGATGTGGCACCTGCTCCAATGTATGGTGGCTGCCCCGATGTGATTTCTCTGCTTCTCCCACTCGACTGGAAGTTTCCAGAAGAGTTGGGTTTCCTTCACCTTTCTATCTCTGCTGCCCAGGATACTGCTCAACAAATATACTTGGTTCTGTAGTCTTCACCACTCAACAGAAGGGAGAGGGCACTCCCATCGTCAAAAGAGCTAGAATCCTCTTAGAGATGCCAGGTGGCGGGATGACCACAGTGTGCTGCTGGGCCACTGGCCCACTTACTGCCTTCTGACTGCTGCTTTTGCTTCTGCAGATGCCCCCATTAGCTCTGTGGCCCTTCGCCAGGGAAGAGGCTATGTCGCCACCATTGGAACAAAGTTCTGTGCTTTGAACTGGGAAGATCAGTCAGCAGTTGCCCTGGCCACAGTAGATAAAGACAAGAAAAACAATCGGTTCAATGATGGAAAGGTGGATCCTGCTGGAAGATACTTTGCTGGTACGGTTTATTTCTAGCACCTATTGACTGAGCTTAGGAGAGAAGCAGGACTTAGGAAAGTCTCGAATTGGTAGTGGTAAAATGTTATTCATAACGGGTCTTGGGTTCTTCTTTTATTATTACTTGAATAGCTTTTCCTTTAAAAAAATATATCCCAAGGGACTCATGGCCGGCTCAGTTGGTAGAGCATATGACTCTTGATCTTGGGATCATGAGTTCGAGTCCCACACTGGGGGTAGAGTTTTGGGTTTTTTTTAAGATTTATTTATTTATTCATGAGAGACAGAGAGACAGAGAGAGAGAGAGAGAGAGAGAGAGAGAGAGAGAGAGAGGCAGAGACATAAGCAGAGGGAGAACCAGGCTCCTCTCAGGGACCCCAATGTGGAACTCGATCCTGGATCCCTGCCTAACAGGTGCCCAACAGCTGAGCCACCCTGGCGTCGCGGGGGTAGAGTTTACTTAACAGAAGTGTAAAAGTACATATACATACATACATACATACATATGATAAAGCCAATTAAAAATCAACTGTTAAGGGCAGCCCTGGTGGCACAGCGGTTTGGCGCCGCCTGCAGCCTGGGGTGTGATCCTGGAGACCCGGGATCGAGTCCCACATCGGGCTCCCTGTATGGAGCCTGTGTCTCTGTCTCTCTCTCTCTGTCTATGAATAAATAAATAAAATCTTTTTAAAAAATCAACTTAAAAATGATAACTTTTTAAAAGATTTTATTTATATGAGAGAGACAGCATTAGCAGGGGAGAGAGAGAGAAGCACGCTCCCCACTGAGCCAGGACCCCGTTGTGGGGCTCGATCACAGGACCGTGGGGTCATGACCTGAGCCAAAGGCAGATGCTCAACTGACTGAGCCACCCAGGTGCCCCAAAAATAATAAATTAAATTAAGTTAAAAATCATTTTTTAATTTTAAGAATGCCATGAGAAAAGCTTTCAATATCTGTCTCTAGCGGAGACTAAAATGTATGTGGTCCTATTATAGTTTAAATGAGTTTTAAAATAGAGGTTTTGTGGTTGCTGATGATGTTTAAATTGGAAATAATTTCAAATTGACAGAAAAAAGAAGTAAAAATAGTACAAACAACACCTGTCCACCCTTTACCTAGTTCACCTATTGTCAACGTTTTGTCCCATTTGCTCGCTCTCTATGTATATCAACATACCTCCAGAATCATTTGAAAGTAAGTTGCATATATCACAACCCTGGAAAATACTTCCATGTGATTTTCCCAAGAAAATGACATTCTTGCACTACCTCAGTTTAGTTATCAACTTAAAAAAAGTTTAACATTGTTAACAGTTATATCTGACATACTATCTATACTCCAGTTTTGTCTATTAACCAAATAATGTCCTTTATAGTATTTTCCCCCGCCACCACAGGATCCAGTCTAGGATTATGTATTGCATTTAGTTGACACGTCTCTTTAAACCTCTGTATTCTGGGACAGAACATAGCCTTTCTTATTTTTTATGACCCTGCCATGTTTGAAGAATACACACAACTACCCCCCCCTTTTTAAGATTTTATTTATTTATTCATGAGAGACACAAAGAGAGGCAGAAACACAGGCAGAGGGAGAAGCAGGCTCCCTGCGGAAGCCCAATGCGAGACTCGATCCCAGGACCCTGGGATCACAGCCTGAGCCAAAGGCAGACACTCAACCACTGAGCCACCCAGGTGCCCTTTTTTAAGATTTTATTTATTTATTCCTGAGAGACACAGAGAGAGGCAGAGACATAGGCAGAGGGAAGCAATTCCTCCTGTTTTTAATAGAACATTCCTCATGTTCCTCTTGTCCTTGTGTTTGTCTAATGTTTCCTTGTGATTAGATCGATGTTGTACATTTGTCACTAGAATACTACAGAGGTGATACTCTGTCTTTGTCCAGGTATCCCACCTGGATACCATGTCCCTCGTGGGTGATGTTCGTTTTGATCACCTGGTTTAGGTCTTCTCAGATTTCTCTACTGCATAATTACTAATTTTTTTTTAAGATTTCATTTACTTATTTCAGATAGAAAGAGAACAGAGGGGCAGAGGGGCAGGAAGAGGGACAAGCAGACTCTGCCTTGAGCATGAGCCCAGCGCAGGGCTCCATCTCACAACCCTGAGATCATGACCTGAGCTGAAATCAAGAGTCAGAGACTCAACCGACTGAGCCACCCAGGTGCCCCCATGGTTATTATTTTTAATTGTGATTTATAAACATTTTGTGGGGTTTATTAGTCATCTATTGCTGTGTAACAAACTACCCTGAAATTTAGCAGCTTAAAATAAGAAATATTTCTTACATCACATAGTTTCTGAAGGTTAAGAATCTGGATGTGGTTTAGCCTGATGGTTCTAGTTCAAAGCTGCATCATGAAGTTGCAGTCAAGCTGTTGGCGGGGGCTGTAGCCTCAGAAGGGGCTGGAGTCTCTCAAGGGACCTGGAGGATTCATGTCCAAGCTCACTCACAAGGGGTCGGCAGGAGATTTCAGTTCCTTACCAAGTGGGCCTCTCCATAGGGCTGCTCTGGACATGGCTTCTCCCAGGGCCAGTGAGAAGAGAGAGAGAGAGAGAGAGAGAGAGAGAGAGAGAGAGAGAGAGAGAAAACGAGGACACCCAAAACAGAGGCTACAGTCATACTATAACTAATTTTGGAAGTGATAAACCATCACTTCTGTCATGTGCTATTGGTCACACAATGATAGAAGAGACTACGTACAAAGGGTGTGAATATCCCTTAGGGGGATAGGGAGGCAGGGATCACTTGGGGCCATCTTGGAGGCTAGCTGCCACACGGAGGGAGATACCTGAAGACCGGCCAAATATCCTAGTCCTCAGCAAAACATCTCTCTTGGGTTTTACATTTGTTGATGATTCTTTCTTGAACCAATGTTGACTGTGATGGCTGTAGAATGGCTTATGTTCAGCTTTCAGTGAAATGTAACTATAGTTTCCAGTTAAATAATACATTTCACATACATTCTTATTTCCTTCTCGTCATAACAAATTAGCCAAAGTTGATTCCAAAACCCTGCTGTTTCCACCTCCCCACCCCACCTCCTCACGTTATCAGCCATGCTGCCGTGGCTCCATTCACTTTCAGCATGGAAGGTACATGAGATCTGAATGACTGGCCATGGCTCGCTTCCCATATCCCTGGACTTTACACAACCACAGATCTAGTCCAGGTCAGGTTGAAAGATTAAAGATGAGAATCGATTGGAAGCCCTCTGCCACTGATTTCTGCAGGATAAGGAAATAGGATTGGATACCCTACCTGCTGTCAAAATTGATTTTCCCTCTCCCTTATGGCTATAGTATACGGTTCTGTGGCTCTTTGTGAGACAAAATGAAGACATCCTCGGAAGCCTGAGTCCTTAGCCTGGAGTCCCCAGTTTTAATTTTTTTATTTTTTATTTTTTATTTTTATTTTTTTTATTTTTTTTGAGTCCCCAGTTTTTAAACTGTGCCTGGAGGAGACCTCTTAAAATTGTAGGCATCATTGTGGGTGTACAAACTGAAGCACCTGAGAACCTTTTTCTAGAGAGTTCATAGCTTTCAGCAGGTACTAGGAGATATTTCTGGACCAGGAAAGGGTAGTCATTTGATAGTCAGGAGGTGGTAGGTAGAAGCCTGAGGGTGTCACTACACCCAAGGTCTGACCTGTGTGTGCTCACTCCTAGACAGTGAGGTATAAGCCAGGGCTCCAGCTTGTTCTTTCCCACAAAGGTAGAACCCTTTCCGAGCAGTGGGGAATTCACATTCACGTTCCAGGTATCTCTCTTTCTGTGGGGCAGACAGTGGGGAGGAATATTAGTGAAACAAATCCAACTACCCTATAGCCCGAAACTGCTGCGTGAACATCCTTGTCCCCTAGGAGGGAGGATTTACCCTGTCTTGCTTGCTATTCAAACTTCCCAACTTTTGTCTATTTTCCTTTAACCCATTCTTACTCTGCTGCTGTTGAGTGTACAGTGTTCTGTAAACGCCACTTAGATTGGTTGATGCTGTTCAGTTCTATGTCTTTGCTGATTTTTCTATCTACTTGTATCTATTACTGAGAGAGGAATGCTGACATCTCCAATTGTAATTATGGATTTGTCTATTTCTTTTCAGCTCTGACTTTTGCTTTGTGTATTTTGAAGCTCTGTTGTTAAGCACATACAAATTTAAGGTTGCTATGTCTCCTTAGTGAATTGACCATTTTCACGATATGTAGCACCCCTATGTATCCCTGGTAATTTTCTTTGCTCTAATTACTTTTTTAAGATTTTATTTATTTATTCATGAGAGACGCAAAGAGAGAGAGAGAGACAGACAGAGACAGAGACAGAGACAGAGACAGAGACACAACTCAGACAGAGGGAGAAGCAGGCTCCGTGCAGGGAGCCCGATTCAGGACTGGATCCTGGGACTCCAAGACCACACCCTGGGCTGAAGGGAGGCGCCAAACTGCTGAGCCACCCAGGGATCCCCCTTTGCTCTAATTATTTTGTCTGATATTAATACAGCCCCTCCAGCTAATATTTTAATCAATATTTGCATGGCATAGCTTTTCCCATCCTTTCACTTGTACACAATCTATATCATTATATCTGAAGTGAGTTTCTTTTTCTTTTTTTTTAAGTGCTAGGGTTTTTTGTTGTTGTTGTTTTGCTTTGTTTTGTTTTTATTCATGAGAGACACAGAAAGAGAGAGAGAGGCAAAGACACAGGCAGAGGGAGAAGCAGGCTCCATGCAGGGAGCCAGATATGGGACTCAATCCCAGGACTCCAGGATCACGCCCTGGGCCGAAGGCAGGTGCTCAACCACTGAGCCACCCAGGCGTCCCAGAAGTGAGTTTCTTACAGCAAGCAAATAATTGGATTTTTTAGAAATTCATCTCAAAAATGTATTAATTGATGTGTTTTAATTATTGATATGCTTTGATGTAGATCTACCATTTTGTTATTTGTTTTCTCTTCTTTCCCTCTGTATTTTTTTGTTCCTCTGTTTCCCCTTTCCTGCCTTCTTTTGGGTTACTTCAACCTTCTTTAGAATTAAATTTTAATTTATTTATGATGGTATTTTGCTGTATCTCTCTATAGTTTTTTAAGGGCTTCTGAAAGGATTGTAAAATATACAGTTAACTTTTTTTTAAGATTTTATTTTTTTATTCATGAGAGGCACAGAGAGAGAGAGGCAGAGACACAGGCAAACAGAGAAGCAGGCTCCATGCAGGAAGCCCGACGTGGGACTTGATCCCGGGTCTCCGGGATCACGCCCTGGGTTGAAGGCGGCACTAAACCGCTGAGCCACCCGGGCTGCCCTACAGTTAACTTTTTGCAGTCTATCTATAATCAAGATTTTACCGCTTCAATTGATTATCACTTCTTTATACTATAGTTGTCTTTCTTTAAAGATTTTATTTATTCATGAGAGACACAGAGAGAGGCAGAGACAGGGGCAGAGAGAGAAGCAGGATCCCCGCAGGGAGCCCAATGTGGGACTTGACCCTGGAACTCCTGGCTCACGCCCTGAGCCAAGCGTCCCTATAGTTGTCTTTATATACATACATATAAATCCTGTTGGAAAATGTAATTTTTGCTTTAACCATCAAAAATATTTTAAAGGGGTGCCTGGCTGGTTCAGTTGGTGGAGCATGCAACTCTTGATCTCGGGGTTGTGAGTTCAAGCCCTAGGTTGGATATAGAGATTACTTTAAAATAAAAAATCTTTTATTTTTTTAAATCTTTTAAAAAATAAAATCTTTAACAAAAAAAGAAATATTTTAAAGCACTAAAGAGAAGAACTGTCTATTAAATTTACTATTTCCATTGCTCTTCATTTTGTTGTTTCAAGCTGCATTTTGATGTCATTTCCCTTCTAAGGAACTTGCTTTAGCAATTCTGTTAGAACAGGTCTGCTGGCTATGAATTCTCCCAGTTTTACTTTGTATGAGAATATCTTTATTTCACCTTCATTCTTGAAAGATACTTTCATTGAATATAGAATTCTAGGCTGACACCTTTTTTTTCTTTCAGCAAATGAAAAATGTGTCCCTTCTGGGGCGCCTGGGTAGCTCAGTCAAGGATTCAACTCTTGATCTTGGCTGTGGTCTTGATCTCAGGATTATGAGTTCAAGCTCCCATGCTGGGCTCCACGCTGGGATGGAGCCTACTTATAGTTTTCTGCTTTTCACCAAACTTGAGTTTTGAACCATTACTTCTTCAAATGTGTTTCCACCCTGTATTTTCCTCCTCTTCTCTAGGAATCCAATGATACATATGTTAGTTCTTTTGTTGTTCCACAGATCTCTAAAGCTCTGTTCATTTTTTTCAATATTATTTCTGTCGTTCACATTGGATAATTTATTTTTAAATATATTTTAAGATTTTTAATTGTTTTAAGTAATCTCTAGGCCCAACGTGGAGCTCAAACTCACAACCCCAAGATCAAGAATCTCGCGTGCCCTCTACCGACTGAGCCAGCCAGCTCCTGGATAATTTCTATTGACCTATCATTCGCTACACTAACTCTTTCCTTTGTCATCTCTATCCTGCTAGCAAATCCATCCAGTCAGTTTCTAGATTATTTTATTATTATTATTTTCTTTTTCAGTTCTAAAAAATCTTTTTAAGATTTTATTTATTCATGAGAGACACACAGAGAGAGGCAGATACATAGGCAAAGAGAGAAGCAGGCTCCTTGCGGGGAGCCCGATGCAGGACTGGATCCCTGGATTCCAGGATCACAACCTGAGCCAAAGGCAGATAGATGCTCAACCCCTGAGCCACCCAGATGCCCCAGTTCTAAAATGTTTATTTGGCTATTCGTTGTGTCCTCTACTCCCTTCTCCTTCCTTGCATTGCCAAGTTTCCTAGAAATTTTAAATATTATTTTGAGCCCCTGGATCTTGGTTCAATCCTATGGAGAATGTTGATATATTTGTCCTAGTTAGTGATCTATAGGTTCAGAACATTTAACCGAAAAGCTTGAGCCTGCTGTTTGTGAGGTGCCATTAGGATCTGGCTCACATGTAGGCTACTCAGTGGTCAGCCTGAGACTGGTGAGTTCTAACCACAGCCGCATTCGCAGTCTTTGGTATGCTAATTAGAACCAGATTCGTGCAAGTACAAGTAGAAGATGAGCCCGGGCGATCATAAACAGCTTTATGGAATTGCATTCCTGAGCAACATCCCTCTTCACTATCTCCAAGTACTTCCCATTTTCCTGGAGCTGTCTGTGTCATTCCTCCAGCCAGAAAGTACCCATTTCTAGAACAATGCTGTCTCTGGGGCTACGCAGCAGCCAGACAGAGGAGGAGAGGGATGTAAAAGCAGCAGTGTTTGGCTCTCCCCTTTTGGAGCTCTGTCTTCAACCAGCTGGAGAGGAATGTCCCCTTCCCTAAGTCTTGATTCCTGCAGTTTCCTGTTGTGGGCCACTCTCTGCTGTTAACTACCCTTGCTTCAAATAGCTGGCAGACTGGAGAAAGGAGTAGAAAAGAAGCAGGGTGGGGCACGTGGGTGGCTCAGTGGTCGAGCATCTGCCTTTGGCTAAGGGCATGATCCTGGGGTCCTGGGATAGAGTCCTACATCCCCCCACGGGGAGCCTGCCTCCCCCTCTGCCTATGTCTCTGCCTTTCTCTGTGTCTCTCACAAATAAATAAATAAAATCTTAAATAAAAAAATCAAGGAAACTATTATGTGATCCCCATCTGGGTCCTATATTAGAAAAAAATGACAACTACCTTGCTTATGATGTGAATGGAAATCACACTGACAGGTCTGGTTCCCAATTAGAAGGAGAACATCGCTCCCAACCCGACTTTCTCCCACTGAGAGCAACCCTACTATCTGGAACAAACCTACGGTGGAGCTATTTGAGAAAGCAAATGTAAAGAAAAGAAGCAGAGATTTCTTCCACTCTTTGAGCCTCAGGAGTTTCCTTTCTGCTCCTTGAGCCAGACTGAGAGGGTTTCTCTTGGATCTCTGTCTTCACCACGGTGCTCACTTCCAAGTTTCAGCTGTGTTGAGTTCAGGCTGGGACATCCGGAAAATAAAATGGAGAACTAACCACCCATTAGGTAGCACTGCAAATTACGTTGTTCTTCCCAGACCTGCCTGATATTGACTTTTCAGAGTTCTCAAATAGCTCTACCATAGGTTTGGTCTAGATTGTAGAGTTGTGCTCAGTGGGAGAAAGTGGAGTTGGTAGAGATGTTCTCCTTATTTGGAACCAGACCTGTCGGTATGATTCCCATTCGCATCATAAGCAAGGTAGTTGTCATTTCTTTTTTTTCTAATATAGGACCCAGATGAGGATCATATAATAGTTTCCTTGATATTTTTCTTTAAGATTTTATTTACTTATTCATGAGAGACACAAAGAGAGAGACAGAGACATCGGCAGAGGGAGAAACAGGCTCCCTGTGGGGGGCCAGATGCAGGACTCAATCCCAGGACCCCAGGATCACAACCTGAGCTGAAGGCAGAAGCTCAACCACTGAGCCACCCAGGTGCCCCTAGTTTCCTTGATTTAATGCTGTGAAAGGAACCCTTTTGATAAAAGATGGTGTAGGGCATGGGGCAAGGTGCTGTGATGCTAAACCCAGTGCTTTTGGGGTTTTGTAGGCACCATGGCTGAGGAAACGGCCCCAGCAGTTCTGGAACGGCACCAGGGGTCCCTGTACTCCCTCTTTCCTGACGGCCATGTGGAAAAGTATTTTGACCAGGTGGACATCTCCAATGGTTTGGATTGGTCCCTGGATCACAAGATCTTCTATTACATTGATAGTCTGTCCTACTCCGTGGATGCCTTTGACTATGACCTGCAGACGGGGAAGATCTGTATGTACTTTTTCATTATTCTTCTTAATACTGCTGGTATTTTTTCATATGTGTGTAACTAGTAAGCTGCTTCTTCCTCAACTTATATGAAAAGGCCCTTGTCAAATAAAGAACTGTCTGATGTGACTATTCCAACATAGTCATAATTGCCCAGACTCAACTGTGCGGCCAATCAAGCCATGGCCCTCAACACAACTAACTGTGGCCACCACGGACATAATATGAATAGATCCTTAATCCCCTCTCTTGCCACCATCTCTAGAAAGAGGCTCATGTGCAATGGATACTGTTCTACCGGGAGGTGCCTACAGGCAAATAATACACAGCAGAATTAGATAAAAGAACAGAAAGTTAGGGTTGGGGTTGGCACTTCTCATTTGTCCTTTAGTTAATGGTAGGCAATGCTCAGAGACAAATTAACAATCTTCCAAAGTGGAAAAGTCTAAAACGTAGCTGCAGATTGTTCAGTTCCATCAGTGAGTTCTGCATGAGCCACAGTTGGAAACTGGGAAGGAAAGAATTCTTGAGGAAAAATCAGGAGGGAGTTCTTGAAACTATTTTGTGGAAGGTGCCAAACCACAAGAGCAAAACCAATCATAAAAGCAACTCAAAAAAAATATCACAAGGCTCTCGTGTAGATTTAACGAGAGGCCAGTTATTTCAGTACAGATGTTTTGCTTTGAAATATATAAGGCTCTTTGTTATAACTGTTTTTACCCATTTTTACTGACATATGGTTTTAACATCTTTTTTTCCATTATACCACAATGCAGTTACCATGATGACCTGGATTTTGTAGTGTAAATTTCCTCTGGAGCTTGATGGGGGGTTCTTTGTATCCTGTGATTCCCCCTCCTTTAATGCCAGCTGGTTGGCTCCAGATTACCCCTCCTCTCAGAAATAAGCTCTTCAATATTGAGTTTTGATAAGATGATTTTGGAGCATTCAGCTGGGCAGAAACAGAACTCTCACATCTTACTATTTTTTGCGTATGAACCATTCACATGGTACGGTACCATTAAGTTGCCTTCTAGATCTTGGAGTTAATCAAAGTCAGCATTTTTATAAGCAAAACAGCAAAGGTCTAACCGCAGACTGAACTGTATCCGAGGTGGGTGCTCAGAGCTTCAGTTCAGGTCAACCTCAAAAAGAACTATTGGTATTTTATTAAGAATTCTACTTCCAAAAAAAAAAAAAGAATTCAACTCCCTTTTGGCTCTCCTTCTCCAAAAGCTTAGATGGATATGACTGTACACAAACTAAAGAGAGTGCAATAACCCCCAAATTATGTGGCAAAAATCCTTAGTTGAGGAGTGCCCACTCGTGTTTCTGGACATTTTTGTTTAGTTAGGAATTCTTCTGAACCATCTCACATGCCAGACCCGGGATAAGCAAAAGTCATCAGGATTTACAGTCAGCTTGCGAGCTCCTTGTCTGATGCCCAGCATTGAGTGGCCTGTTGCTTTGTCATGTGTGTATATTTGTTTGTTTTAACCCTAGCCAACCGCAGAAGTGTTTACAAGCTGGAGAAAGAAGAACAAATTCCAGATGGAATGTGTATTGATACTGAGGGGAAGCTCTGGGTGGCCTGTTACAATGGAGGAAGAGTGATTCGTTTGGATCCTGAGACAGGTAGGCTCACAGCAAAAGAAAAAAATCCCTGCCATGTCTAGAAAAAAAACACGACACTAGCAACCAAAGAAACTTCATTACTAATGAAGTTATATGGAGCTATATTCAGAGGTCTCAGTAGGACGGCTTGGAAATAAAGGCCAAAGATAGAGCACAAAACTTACAGGCAGAACTTCTTTTCCTGAGGAGGTTAAGTCTTTTTGCCCAAAACAAATTGTCAGGGAAGGTAGGTTAAATACATGGCTGAAGTCTGACCTCCACAATCCTTTTTGATTATCCCTAATCCTCTACAAGGGGTCCCAAACAGTAGTGCAGGTTGAAAATTTGCTAGAGCTGGACTCTCAAAAAAATATTTGGTGATCTAGGGAAAAGACTCCAAACTGTGAAGTTACCTGTTGATAAAACAACTTCATGCTGCTTTGGAGGGAAGGACTACTCTGAAATGTATGTGACCTGTGCCCGGGATGGAATGGACCCTGAGAGTCTTCTGAAGCAGCCTGAAGCTGGTGGGATTTTCAAGGTGATCCAGCTATTTATTTTAATTTGAGGGTGAGATGGGAGATCCTTGGCTAAGTAACTGAGTGATTAGTGCTTTTCCTTTTTATTATTTATTTATTTATATTTCATTTTTATTTATTTGAGAGAGAGAGCAAGAGAGAAAGAGCACGAACAGGGAGAGGGGCAGAGGGAGAGGGAGAAGCAGGCTCCCTGCTCAGCAGGGAGCCAGGCACAGGGCTGGATCCCAGGACCCCAAGATTATGGCCTGAGCCATAGGCAGACACCCAACTGACTGAGCCACCCATTTGCTTTGATTAGTGCTTTTCCATACTTCCAAAACATAATTCTACTTAGTATTTTTTTTAGCAAGAGAAAGCAGGTGTATGTGTGCGCGCACACACACACACACACACTCGAGTTGGGACAAGGAGGGCAATGGGAGAGGGAGAGAAAATCTTAAGTAGGCTCCACACCCAGTGTAGAGCACAACCAGCGGTTTGATCTTACGACCCTCAGATCATGACCTGAGCCAAAATCAAGAGTCTGGTGCCCAACCGACTGAGCCACCCAGGCATTTCTCTATTTAGCAATTTTAAGCTCATCATGCTAGACTTTTTTTTATGCTAGACTTTTTAAAACATTTTATTTAGACTTTATAGACTGTAAGTACAAGATCATGTGTTTAGCCCACTTTGTGCAGTATTTCAAAATATTTTTGTGCTTCAGTTATGTTTGCCGAAATTCTGTAAATCAATAGAACGAGCTTGAAAAATCAGTGTTTGAAACATGTTTATGAGATCAGTTGATTGTTTTGGTGTCAAAAGAATATCTTTGGGCTTCTTCCTTTTTGCAACAAAACAAACACTATAAAAATTATGAACCTCTAGGGACACCTGGGTGCTTAGTCAGTTAAGCATCTGCCTTCAGCTCAGATCATGATCTCAGGGTCCTGGGATCAAGCCTGGAGTCAGGCTCCCTGTTCAGCGGAGAGTCTGCTTCTCCCTCTCCCTCTGCCCCTCCTCCTTGCTCTTGCTATCTCTCTATATATATCTCAAATACATAAATAACATCTTTTTAAAAAAATTATGGACCAGGAAGCCTGGGTGGCTCAGTGGTTGAGCGAATGCCTTTGGCTTGGGGCGTGATCCCATGGTCCCGGGATCGAGTCCCACATCGGGCTCCCTGCATGGAGCCTGCTTCTCCCTCTGCCTGTGTCTCTGCCTCTCTCTGTGTCTCTCATGAATAAATAAATGAATCTTTAAAAAAAAATATGGACCTCTCAAACTGAAAAGAAATAGGAAGATGGTATAAATAAATTCAGTTTTAAATCCAAGTTAATTGCAGATGGTTGCTAGTTGGACTATTATCAATGTGAATAATTGTGTTGGACTCGACTTAATCAAGTAATTCCTTTTTATGATAGGAAATAAAACAAGTATAATTGGTAGCTAAATATATTATTATGAATCATAAAAAATGCTTTTGAAGAATACTTGAGAATTACCTTTAAGCAAAATTTCTCTCGTTTTTCTTTTTAACAGATAACTGGCCTTGGGGTCAAAGGAATTCCTCCCTATCCCTATGCAGGATGAATGGCAGGTCTTCTTTCCTACTGGGGGAAATTTGAAGACACGTAGAAAATTCTAGAGCTGAAATTTCAATCTAGTTACAAAACAAATTAAAGAAATGGTACTATTAACAGGCAAAATTAACGTTTTTTTTTTCATTTTTAAGAGGTAGAGCATTTTAATAAGGGGTGACAGGTAGTTTTGATAACACACTAAGAGGCCTTCTACAAAGGTATTACAGAAATATAAAGAATTGTTCAACTGTCAATCAGCCTCTACTCTTTGCAAATTGCTAGAAGGGGACTGGGGTTACTATATCTTTTATGCATTCCATACTTATTACACCTAAAGTTTAAAAAAACTAATAAATAATGGCCTTATAATGACTTATGATTATGTTCCTTTTTATTTTCGTCATAATCTTATAAAATATACTGCAGTGCTAACCTGCCTTCATATTATTTTTCCTACATATTACTTTTTGCAAGTTAAAATATAACTGGAGGATGAGAATGAAACTCTGGCAAAATCCATGGCTCCAACTGCCACCTAATAAATGTAAAAGCAATATATCACTTTAGAGAATACTTTTTTAAAAAATAGCTTTATTGAATTATAATTGACCTATACATATTTCAAGTCTACAATTTGGTAAATTTTACATATATACTCACTAATGAAACCAACACCATAAGCAAGATAATGAATCTATTTACCACCCCCCAAGACTTTACCTGTGTTCCTTGGTAATCCTTTGCTTTGGTCCCTCTGTATGTCTGCCCTCATCCCCAGGAAAACACTGATCTTATGTCTGTCACTATTAATTACCTTTAAAATTGGATGGTGTTATTTCTCCAGCTTTGTTCTTTTTCAAAATTGTCTTAGTTCTTCTAGTTACTTTGGCGTTCCATATAAATTTTAGAATCAGCTTAACTGGGCACCTGGGTGGCTCAGTGGTTGAGCATCTGCCTTCAGCTCAGGTCATGATCTCAGGAGTCCTGGGATTGAGCCCCATGTCAGGCTTCCTGCTCAGTGGGGAGTCTGCTTCCCTCTAGCCCTTCCTTTTCCCCTCCCCCTGCTTATGCATGTTCTCTCTCTCTCTCTCTCTCTCAAATAAATAAATAAATAAATAAATAAATAAATCTTTTTTAAAAATCAGTAGAACAATTTGGAGAGAATTAGCATCTTTACTATTTTGAGTCTTCCAACCCATGAGCATGGTGCATCTTTCAGCTATATAGGTCTTCTATGACTTTTTTCTTTTTTTTCTATGACTTTTTTCATCAGCATTTTGCAGCATATAGGTCTTGTACATGTTTTGTTAGATTTATATTTGAGAATATTGTGCATTCTGCTATTATGAATGGAGTGTTTTATAAATGGCAGTTAGATTCAGTTGGGTGGTGGTGGTGTTCAGTTCTTCTATATCTTTCCTGAGCTTCTGTCTTCTAGTTTTTTACATAAATGAGGAAGGAGTGTTGAAATCTCTATCATTTTGGATTTTTCTGTTCTCTAGTCAGTTCTGACAGTTTTGGAACTCTGTTGTTAGGTGCATTTAAAACTGAGTATCAGGAAAGCGCAGGTGGCTCAGTGGTTTAGCATCACCTTCAGACCCGGGATTGAGTCCCACGTCAGGGTCCCTGCATGGAGCCTGCTTCTCCCTCTGTCTGTGTCTCTGCCTCTCTCTCTCTCTCTGGTCTCTCATGAATAAATAAATAAAATCTTTTTAAAAAATAAATAAATAAATAAATAAAAATAAAACTGAATATCTTTTCAATGAATTCACTTTTCTTAAATATGTAATGTCCTCTCTTTATCCCTTGAAAATCCATTGAAATCCATTGAAAATTCATCAAGGTTTTTAAAAGATTTTATTTTTTAAGGGACACCTGAGTGGCTCAGTGGTTGAGCATCTGCCTTCTGCTCAGGACGTGATCCCGTGTTCCAGGATTGAGTCCTGAATCAGGCTCCCCATGGGGAGCCTGCTTTTCCCTCCACCTATGTCTCTGCCTCTCTCTGTGTGTCTCTTATGAATAAATAAAATCTTTTTTAAAAAGATTTTTTTAAGAAGTAATCTCTACACCCAACGTGGGGCTCAAACTTAACAACCCTGAGGTCAAGAGTCCCATGTTCTACTGACTGAGCTAGCCAGGTGCCTCATTAATGTTAAATTTTTTGCTTTCAACCATCAAGCGTGTTTTGAAGAATTCAAGAGGAAAAGAATAGTTTATTATCTTTAACAAAATATTTACCATTTCTGTTGTTCTTTCTTCATTTCTGATATTCGAAGTTTCTTTTGCTCTCCATTTTATTGTCTGAAGAACTTTCATTAACAGTTCTTTTAGAGTAGGTCTGCTGCTATGAATTCTCTCATTTTTACTTCATATGAGAGTGTCTTTATTTCACCTTCATCCCCGAAGGTTATTTTCACTGGATATGGAATTCATGGTTGATAGTTCTTTACTTCCAGCCTCTTGGCACTTTAAATTTGTGCTATTTTCTTCTAGCCTTCATGGTTTCTGATGAGAAAGCTAGTCTTCAAAATCATTATTTCCCTACAGGTAATGAGTAATTTTTTTCTTGGCGATTTCAAGACTTTGTCTTTGTCTTTAGTTTTCTGCAATTTGATTATGATGTGTCTGGCTATGTATTTCTTTGGGTTTATCCTGTTTAGGGTTTGCTCTGTTTCTTGAATATATACATCATATATATATATATATATATATATATATATATATATATATCACATAACTTGGGAAGTTTGGGAAATTATTTCTTCAAATATTTTGTCTGCCTCATATTTCTCTTTCTGGGACTCCAAAAACTTGAACATCAGACTTTTTGTTCTTGTCCCACAAGTTCTTGAATTTCTGTTAAATTGTTTCAATGTTTTTTTCTCTCTGTTCTATCGATTGATCTTCAAGTTCACTGGCTCTTTTCTCTGTTTTCTCTGCTAGTGAGTCCATCTGGTTATTTTTATTGTTATTATTTTATTTTTCAGTTCTAAAATGTCCATTTCCAGTTCTAAAATTTCCATTTCTATTCCAATACTTTCCATTTTAACATTTGTTTGGAGAATTTTCATGATTGCTCAATCATTTTTATATAATGGTTGTTTCAAAGTGTCAGACTAATTCCAACAGCTGCATTATTTAACTCCTGGCACCTGTTATTGTCTTTTTCCATTCGAATTGAGCATTTCATTGTTCTTTGTATGATGAGTAATTTTAGATTGTATCCAGGATGCTTTGAATACTATATTATGGAACTCTAGGTCTTGTTTAAATCCTATGAAGAGGGCAGCCCAGGTGGCTCAGCAGTTTAGCGCTGCCTTCAGCCCAGGGCATGATCCTGGAGACCCGGGATCAAGTCCTGCGTTGGGTTCCCTGCATGGAGCCTGCTTCTCCCTCTACCTGTGTCTCTGCCTCTCTCTCTCTCTCTCTCTCTCTCTCTCTCTCTCTCTCTCGAATAAATAAATAAATAAATAATCTTTAAAAAAATAAATAAGTCTTATGAAGAATGTTGGTGTATTTGTTTTAGCAGATGATAGGTTTGGTCAAAAAGTTCCATCCTATCTTTTGTGGGTGTGGTTCCAATGTCAGTTGTTTTTACAGGCTTTGCAGTGTTATTTGGGACTGTTCCACGTGTGTATTACCTGGTGGTCAGTCTGGGACCTGGGAAAAGGTCTAGCATTAGCTCACTTCTCTGAGTCTTTGATATGTTAATCAAGATCCAATTCATGTACATGCAGGTCAGGAGCTGGGAAAAGCAACTCCGTAAAGTTGTTTATGAATGCCTGGGCTCAAACCCAACATGCAAAGGCCTTTTCATTGAGGATCTCCAGGGAGCATGGTGGATCTGAAGCCCCAGGACAGCTTCTTCTCCAACCCTCACTACAGTCCACTAGTTGTCTGATCTCTGCTTGGTCCTTTCCCATTCTCATTTCTCAGTCAAGTGTTTCTCTCTCTCTCTCTCTAATAAATAAATAAATCTTTAAAAAATCAGCAGAACAATTTAGAGAGAATCAGCATCTTTACTATTTTGAGTCTTCCAACCCATGAGCATGGTGCATCTTTCAACTATATGGTCTTCTATGACTTTTTTCATCAGCATTTTGCAGCATATAGGTCTTGTAAATGTTTTGTTAGATTTATATTTGAGAATAATGTGCATTCTGCTATTATGAATGGAGTGTTTTATAAATGGCAGTTAGATTCAGTTGGGTGGTGGTAGTGTTCAGTTCTATATCTTTCCTGAGCTTCTGTCTTCTAGTTTTATCCATAAATGAGGAAGGAGTGTTGAAATTTCTATCATTTTGGATTTGTCTGTTTCTCTATTCAGTTCTGACAGTTTTGGAACTCTGTTGTTAGGTGCATTTAAAACTGAATGTCTTGGGGCAGCCTGGGTGGCTCAGCGGTTTAGCGCTGCCTTCAGCCCAGGGTGTGATCCTGGAGACCAGGGATTGAGTCCCACGTTGGGCTCCCTGCATGGAGCCTGTTTCTCCCTCTGCCTGTCTCTCTCTCTTTCTCTCTCTCTCTCTCTCATAAATAAATAAAATCTTTAAAAAAATAAAAAATAAAACTAAATGTCTTTTCGATGAATTGACTTTTTTTCAATATGCAATGTCCTCTCTTTATCCCTTGAAAATCCATTGAAAACTCATCAAGGTTTTTTTAAAGATTTTATTTTTTAAGGGATGCCTGAGTGGCTCAGTAGTTGAGCATCTGCCTTCTTCTTAAGATGTGATCCCGTGTTCCAGGATTGAGTCCCGAATCAGATTCCCCATGGGGAGCCTGCTTCTCCCTCCACCTATGTCTCTGCCTCTCTCTGTGTGTCTCTCATGAATAAATAAATAAAATCTTTTTTAAAAAATATATAATAAAAATGAGATGATCAGAAGCACAAAACTGGAGACCTTCCTCCCCACCCTCCATGTTACAGCTGACTAGCCTCCTAACTCAGTCACTTCCAGTCCATTTCTCATTCAAGGTAAGTCAGAGAGTAATGGAATTGCTAAGGTGCTCCAGGGGCCAAGATAGAGTGCTCTGAGGACTTTGAGGAAGGAAACCCCTAGAATTGCAGGTGATCCCAAGCCCCCAGAGTGGCTATCCTTTCTGCAAGACCCTTGAACCTGGAAACTCAGCCTTGTGGGACCCCCACTCTAGCTCCCTTCCCTGGTGGTGGAAGCCTCCCCTATGACAAACATTAAACCCTTGCACTGAGTCTTTTCGGGCCAATTGCACAAATAGCCATCTAATCAACCAAACTTCTAAAAAGGGCATCTGCTTGACGGGGAATTGCGATATCTGGCCAACCTGACTTACCAAAGGCAATCTGCCATCATCCCTGAGGATTCACACACATTTCTTGCTGGGCATG